ACTATACTAGCTCTTATTACCTTTATAAAGTATCTTAGCTAAAGTATTTTTTTACTAGAGTATAGCTTTTTATAGAGCTAAAAAGAAAAGTAGTATTACTTTACTTTTTACTTTATATACTTAGTTATAGATAGTAATAGCGTAATTAATTAGAGGTATTCTTTTAGTAAAATAGTTAATAAAATAGTTTTTCTATTCTATCTTCTTTCTAGGTAAGAAACTATAACTACTAAAAAGCTTATATATTTTACTAATAAGCTCTTTAAAAGTAAAAATAAAAAAAATAATAATAGAAAGTCTTACGCTAACTATATACGTAGTAGAGATAATAGAGATAGAAGTAATAGAAATAAAAGTAATAGAAACGTTAATAGGTCTAGCGTATAGCTCTATACTAGTAAAGTAGCTCTTTAGAGTACTTATAATAGTCTTTAGTATAGTATAAATATAGTAGTTTATAATAGTTTCTATAATAGCTTCTAGAATAATAACCTTAAGAGAACTTATAAAGTAACGTATTTAAGAGAAAAATAATTAATTAATAATAAAAGGCTTAATTAAGCTTTAGTAAGTAAGGTAATATAACTAGTAATAAGATTAGCTTTAGACTTACTAATACTAGAAGAACTTATAGAAGAGAATATAGTTAAAAGCTTATTTAATATGCTAGTATAGTTTTTAGTATTAGATTTAAGCTACTATTTATATCTTTAATAAGTCTTTAGATCTCTAATTTTACTATAAGCTATAGAATAAGAATAAGAATAAGAATAGAGATAGAGATAGAGATAGAGAGTATATATATAGTAGAAGTATAATTTTATAAGCTAAGATTTTAGCATTTTATTACTTTATAATCTATAGCTTAGTTAGTTATAAGCTATTAAGAATATATAATTATATTATAATTCTTCTTACTATAAGTAAATATTAGTATTTATAGAATAGTTATCTTACTACTCTAAATTTTAAAAGCTTTAACTACGCTAGAGGTAGTAGTACTAAGAATCTAAGCTTTAGTTTACCTAACGCCTACACCTCTAAACATAAGATTTTAACCTTTTTAAAATATATTTTTTTATATACTAGTAATAGACCTTACTCTTTTTAGACTAGCTTCTACTATAGAATTATTAGTTTACTAATAAATAACTATAAAACGCTTATTAGTACTACTAAGTTTTATAGTAGCTATAATAATAAATTCTAAGTCTATTTACTACTTCTACTAAAAAATAGTAGCTTTATATAAAAGTATAGAGAAAATCTTATAAGTATAACTTTTACTTTATAAAAGTTTTTATAATCTTTTATATTATTTATTTACTCTTTTATTAAAGTAAGTATTACTTTTTTTTTTTTATAAGTATATAGAAGAGACTTTAAGCTTATAATATCTTATACTAGACTTTTAAAAAATATATAACTACGCTAAAGTTCTCTTTATAGTCTTTAGTTTAGGTAGTTTTTTTTTTTTTTTTTATACTAGAGATAGAACTTATTATATAACTACTAAAGATAGCATGTACTAAGTATATAGTAGGCCTATTCTATCTTAGTTAGCTTATTAAACTTATATATTAATTTACACTCTACATATACTATAAAAGAGAATAGAACGTAACTGTCGAAAGCATAGTGCCTCTACCTCTTATCAGGTTATGTCACGCGTCGAACGCAAATCATTTGTGGTGAGATTAGTTGAATGGTAGAAGCGTATGGCTAGCTAATTAGCGACTTGCTGATATCATAAAGTGATGTAAAGGTAGCACCGGGCAATAGCTCTCAAGATGTTGGCGTCGGCCCCTGACTGCGCGTAAAGCCGGCCAATCAACGACTTCGGCCCCACCTGGGGCGAGAAAATCCTTGGAAGTGTCACATCTCCATCTCACACCTATTCGAGTCCAGCAACGCTCTCGCATCAGAACTTACGTGATGGCCCCTCCTCGTGACGCTCTGGTTCTCAGAGCTACTCAATTGTCTGTTGGCGTAGCATAGCAAGCTGCTTCTGGTAATCCTCCTTTGCTTCCTTTGCCTCGTCGATTCCCCAGCGCCCATCCCTCTCTAATGTGTATATCTTCTCTATCTTTTTAATCTGCCGCAGGTGGGCTTCTGCCTCGGGCCCAAGAATCTTTAACAAGGTACCAGCCGGAAGGTCTTCTCTCTTACGGATGATCTCACGCCACTCGTCGGTTTGGCCATATTTTGGCGCGTGTTTATTGAAGTCGGACGCAAGTGCGCCACTGTCGCCTGCGTCGAATCTCTCTCCAAAACGAACCCCGTCGCGCATGTCAACATCCAGGCAACTATTGATGTAGCGTTTGACCTTTGGGGGCATGTCTCGAAATCTGGACTGGCACTCTAGTACCTTGATCATGTCGACAAGAATGGTGCCTTTTGGTAGCTTGAATCCGATGTCGGCTAGACCCTGCCGTGTCAAAGTCGGTCGATGGAGACAGACGCAGATTGTTGGATACGTTGATGACAGGTCACGGAACATCTTTTCGAGACCCGCGACGGCCTCATTGGTCGATACAAAGCTGGATTGGGGAACGTTTGGTTTCCCGTTCCATTTGGACGGCACCCAGAATCGGTACTCGTGCGCTTTGTTCTGTCTTTCATCGCTTTGATCCTCCGTGGTTGATACTGCCGGGGATGCTGGGGTGGTGATTTCCACAGACAAGACTCGCATCGCTTCTACTTGCTTCCAGTAGCCCCTCGCCTCGTTGCAGGATATCCAGCCGTTCCAAGAATAGGCCAGACCAGACGGAGCCCACTCCATTGATACCAGAGCGACATGCGGTTTGTCCCAGCAGCGAGCCAGGGTTTCGTTTTCTGTTGCGCATTCCCGTATTCTCTTCATCTCGCTTTCAGCGACGAGGCCAGTCGGTGATATCATGGCAATCACTGGAAAAATTGGTGTGATGCTGTTAGGATGTAAGTAGCTATTAATGAACAAAGTTAGCTGCATTATAAGAACTTACACAGAAGATGAGCTGGAAACTAAAAGAGGGCGAGAAGCTCGTATTCCTAAGCACGGTAAAGAGAGGAAAGAAATGATTGAGAAACGGATTCCATCAAAAGCCACTATCGAAGACTTGTCCTCTGACTAGCGCTTACGCTCTGAGAACAGAATTTCCGTGTGATGATGTGGTCAAAATCAACACTACCTATCAACCTCAAGGCAGCAGCACAGCCTCGTAACACATGATCCCAAACTCATGGTGGCTGAGCCGATGCCAAGGAGATCCATTGATTGTACCAACCTGATCGACCTTGGCCAACAAGAACTTGGACACTGGATACAACACTAATATGACTGAAAGCCCTACTTTCCTAGGTTCGTTGCGATGATGTGGTGGGAGGATGCGCGCGCAGCCATGTGCGAAGTGGGGTTGGCGCACATTAGGTCATCGGGCGTAAGACCCCGGAGGAAAGAAGCCACCTATCAACATCTTTGCAAGACTGTAAGATCAAAAAGACACTCGCATTATCCTTGTAATCATCATGTTGTATACATCAGATATCATTAAATTTACATTTACTTATTGCGTAGCGACGAGGCTACTAGTGCAAACGTTCTGTTTCTTATTGAATGTCTACTTTAGTCGTGCAGACTACACTATCTCAATACTCTGTGAGTACATGTATCAAAGGCCAGCCGGACAATAACCAATAGCTCCAGCTGTGTTGGATATCGCGACGTCCCGTCAAAGTAACCGTCTCGCTCCCCTTCCTTGTCGCAATCTATCTTCGACCGTACCATATATCCACCTGGGTAGATAGACGTCTACTGAACAGGCGGTCCTTGCATGTTGCTCAAGTTCTCCGGGATGGGCTGCTCGCGCATCTGGATCCAGAACTCTGGCCATTCGTCCCTGAGATGGCCTGTAGGTGATGAGAAAGCTCACGGTCAGTCTCTCTATGACAAGCGTTTCGAGCAGTGCGAGATCCATGCAGAACTAATATTGTTTTCCAGTCCAGTTTTATACTTACCGATGAGATTGACGAAGCCCGAACGAGGAGTGAGCTTGTAACCGCCTTCATAGGGCTCAAAGTGGTCCGCGGCACTGCCAGGGTGGACTTGGTCGAACATGGCCCGGATGTCGGTCAAGGTAACTTGGTTACCGGACTTGAGGAAAGTGAGGATTCCGGGGAGGTGGCCGGCTTTGGTGGGGATCAGATCTGAAGCGACGTTTGGCATTGTTGTTGGGATTTGTATGCTTGGGTTTGTTGTAAAGGGTGGGAAGAGGAGTGACGATGTTGAGCTGTGTTTCTTGTTCTCGAAAGTGTGGTGTTTATGGAAGAGGGATACATGGTTCCTGATGGCTGGTTTATATACTGGGAGGGAGGGAGATGTCTCGAGAGTGAATGAGTAGGATTTCGGGGTGAGTGAGAGACTGACTGCACGTGGCTAAGTCTTGTGGAAGGAGTATTCTGGATAGTGCTGCAATACGCAAGGCAAAGATAGGTAGCTATGTCTTGATAATAGTAGCACAATAGCGCGTGATCGAAAAGATGGTACTTTCTCGAAGTTCCCAAATTGCGTGTCATTGTGTAGGTGCTCGTGCAAGTATCTGAGCGTAGATCTATGAATGGATACATTCAGAGGACTACAGATTCGAGAGAAATATCTTATTACAATGAGTGCGCCTAAATGAGGTATGTCCGAGATCTGAAGGAACATGGGATCATGATTAAACATATCTACGAGAAACGCGACCTATATAGTCCGCTGTCAAACTTAATTGAGTGGAATGCCGAGGTGAGCAAGAATCATTTGCTGTGCGCGGAATCATTGTTTGTGCAAGTCGTGTTTGGTATTGAACGAAAGTAGACTCCACCACTTCAGTATAGCCCAATTACCAGTCCATCATGAGAAAGGAAAGAGATTATTCCATCACCAACTCCAATTTCCCTGCACCCAGTAATATTATAGGCCCCACAAAGCCGTCTCCTCTCCCAACACCAACCTCCGGGTCTTCGACCGCACACTTTGTCTAGGTAGGATTCGGATTTTCAGGCGTCGCATCTACAACGTATCGATTACTCAAGACACTTGGAATCGGGTTCTCGTGGAGCCCGGTCCAGAAATCAGGCCAGTTGTCTCTGTAATTGCCTACAGAATCGATAAAAGTCAGCTTTTGTTGGCCGCGCTGGGTTGAACATGCATCATGAGTGCAGAACTGAAGTTCTTCTTCAGCTCATGGTTATACGCACCGACCATAGTGCGAAAGCCCGACCGGGGACTGAGTATGTAACTGCCATTTGGTTGCTGGGTGAAATGCGCCAAGTGATCGTTCTGTTTAGCTGGCGTAGCAGTACGGTTGATAGCGATAAAGATGTCGGCTAGGGTAATTGTGGTATTGATGTTGGTCTGCAGGACGCCGAGAATGTCGACGACTTGCACGGATGTGAGGACGACCATTTCGGGTGGGATCGAGACGTTGGAACTGAGTAAGATCAAGGAGAATGATTTTTGGTAGTAAGTCGCTCGTTTCTCGTCTTCGAATGTGTTGTAGTGTGAAGCAGCATACTCCCATTTTGAGAACAGCTTTTATACTGCGCCTGAGTCAGATATCTCTAGAAGGGAGTGACTCAATCTACGGATTGTGTGAGAGAGTGACGGTTACTGGATCATGTAGGATGATTCTGGGTAACATGGCTATGCCCAAAGCGAGGAGTACCAGTCATGATGCAGACAGGAAATGAATGGTTTTCTGAGTGTAAGGATACCATAGTAGACATGGCAGGTTAAGTGTGCCGTTTTTATACTACCGATCAGTCGCGTGTTGTGGTATACGTGCACTTGCAAGGACCTGAGCTTAGTGTTGGCGGAGAGTTGGAGGACGCGCTCGAACCACCTCCATCCTACGATTGCGGGCCACTGCAACCACTACCTGGCTGTGACGGATGTGCATCCAAATCTAGACTCCTGTAACACTCGTCATCTCCAATCTTGTACTCCTGACTCCTCCAGTCGTACTCTTCCCCACACTCTCGAGCCACCTCGCTCCTACCATTGCGGGTCACCCCAACCACTATCCGGCCGTGACGGAGGCGCGTCTATATCCTGGCTCCCATAGCCTTCGTTGTTTTCATTTCTGTACTCTTGACTCCTACCGTCGTCATTTTCACTCTTGTACTCGTGACTCCCGCAGTTGTCTCCTTCACCATATCTCCCAGCGTTCTCTTCTTCAGCCCTGCGTAAAGCAACAGCGTCAGCCTCCGCCAGCATCTCACCCAACCAATCGAACAACATCCAACCAGCCCTACGCACGATCCCGAAACGAAAGCAATACCGGAAGACTGCGTTGCCGCCTAGGCTGTCGAAGACACGCGAGAAGGTTGACTGAGGCACCTCAATCCACTCTACCTCCTCTTCCTGCTCGTACTCACCCTCTTTGTAATTCTCATGCTCCACACCCTCCCTATCCAGCCTCCCATCCTCTTCCCGCGCCTCCCTCTCGAGTCTCTCCTTCCCTATAACCTGCGGCGAAACCCAAATCTCCGGATCATCTAGTTGCCCCTGCAGATTACAAACACCATGCTCTACGAGCCCCAACAATTTCTCATACACTTCCGCCTTTCTCTTAATCGCCCACTCCAACTGAATCCCTCTACCCATTGGGGTAGGAAAACTGTGCGCGAAGAAGTTCCTGTCGTGTCTGATATCACTCGCGGCACCCATGGGATCCGGTAGGCCAAAAGACTGACACGCCCAACCACTATTCACAGCACGGAGGTTTTCATTGATGGCGATGTGGTGCATGGCAAACTCGTTTTGCACTCTTTCCAACTCCGTGAAGGAAGACAACTTACGCGTTACAGCCTCCAGGGCTTCGCCCTCGAAGCTGTAGTCTCTGCGCGAGTCGCTTTGGGTGTGTGCATTGGGGGCTACTACGTCGGTGACAGTGTCTTCCCAGGGGACGTTTGAAGGGGTCGTCTATGTGTCGTTTACACCTACCAGCGAAGTCCCTGGATAAGTGTCCAAGATGGATAGGTTAGCGACGAGGTGTTTGCGGAGGGTGTAGAAGTATTCTAGGGAGAGGAGGACGGAAATACGGGATACGGGGGTGGGGTGAGTTTCTTGGGTTAGTGTGCCGCTGGGGGAGAGGGTGTAGTAACGGATTGCTGCCGCGCGGTAGTTTGGGTAGGTTGGGTCTAGGTCTTCGATTTCATCGTGGGTTTGGAAGGGTAGAGGTGGGAGGATAGCTAGATCGTTTCGTGCGATAGCTTCTGTGATGTTGATATCTGGGCTTGGGGGTGGAAATGGGCAGTCAACATTAAGATCTGGGTTTGGTGTAAGAGTAGCGAGGGTTGCATCAGAGGGCTCTAGAGCCATACGAACCACGGTCGTCATAATTGTAACTCCAAACTTTGGTCTGGTTTTCATTGAGTTTGATTCGTCGTACATACTCAAATAAACATATACATCTCTTGCACGCACTGTGAGTAGAACGACATTGTCGGCGTATATCGTCCTTTTTGTAATCGTTCGGACACTGTGGAGTAAAAAGACCTGAGCTCCAGAGACGACAGTCCAGTGGAAGCGCTTCGTCGTCATCTTACTGACGTCCTTCTCAGTGTCGTGTTGGCGCCCAAGCTCAGACCAGACCAAGCTCCAACGTTCATCCCATGCCAAACGGTCTTCATCCGAGCACAACATTATACTATTCCTGTTCGTCCTCGGCTTCACTGTCGTTATGGACCATGCCATGTAGTCCTTCTGTTTCAGCACCGATCAGAGGAGCCCTCTCGCCCTCGTGACGCGCGAGATGGCCTCCTATGCTGACAGCCAGAGTACTAAAGCCATGAATCATGGTACTTCCGAGCACAATGAAGCAAACAAGGGGCCATATCATAGTTGCTGTCCGTTGTCGCTCCACGGGCAGATCTTTAGGCGGATGTGGAAGAGGTAGGGATGTACCAGTCTCGAGCTGCGCGCGGGCTTCGATGGCGAGGAAGAGAGCACCGACACCCATTGGCCCAAAGTGTCCAACAAAGAGGGCTTCGGTTGTAGTCTTTACGGATGGCAACATGTTCGTCTTGAAAAGCGTGAAAACGATCGGAATTCTGCGGAAGAGTAGGATGAGTGCGAGCAAAGCAACCAATCGGAGAGGGGTGATTCCGTCCACCGCGTTGAAGCTCGCCCAGGGGATCATTGCACCGAAGAAGATGAAGAAGGCCGAGTTGATCAGCAAATCGATGATAACAGGTAGAGCGGTTCCTTCAGTGGGGTTCTTTTGGTTGTGCGCGAAGCCGCGTCCTGCGAAAAAGGCAACTAGGAAGTCGTCCACTCCAAGAACCGATGCCAGTCCGATAGAGAAGATGGCCAGGAGTAGGTAGAAGGCCAGATACGAGGCTCGGCCCATCCACTCGCGGCTGTGTGAGAACCTGTATAGGCCGTTGAAGATGTATCCCAGGGCGATACCCAGGAGAACGCCTACCACGCACTGGTATAGGATCGTAACAAGGAACCATTTCGTGAAGAATCCTTTAGCAGTATTCTTCAAGAGAAGACTCAACCCCAGATACAAGAACGGGAAGGATATGCCGTCGTTGCAACCACTCTCCGCGCTCAACAAGTCCCTAATCCGCTTGGGTACTCGGGTGCTAAACTGGCTGTTTGACAGAACGGAAGCCGCGAGAACAGGATCTGTGGGCGTGAGGCAGGCCGATATCGTCAAAGCAGTCTGGAAGTCTGTGTCGAACAGGAACATGATTAGCATTCCGCACATCAGCCAGCCGAACGTCATGACAGGCCCGAGAAGAACAAGCAAGGCGCGCCATTTCTTTTGGAGATAGCCTGCGGGAAGCTCCAGACCGACTACGAAGCACTGAATCCCGACGATGAGACGCGTCAGTTCTTGGATAATTTCATCCTGCGACGGTCAGTATTGTTTGTTTGTATGAGGAGCACACTTACGGAAAAGCCCCATTCATATGGCCTGAGGAGGTTGAGAGCGCGTGGTCCGACGATCTGTCGGTCTCGTCAGAAAAAGATTCATTCTCAAAGATGTCCGTACTTACGATACCAAACAGCGTAGCTAATGGTGGTTCTGAGAGATGCAGGCGGTTCCGGATCATAAGCGAGAACAGCGCGTATAAGATGAGAAAGAAGGTTAGGGTCACGTAGGTAACGTGCGGCCCCGTGGGCTCGAGTTGAGACCAGACCATGATGCTTTACTGTTGGTTAGAGGCACGCGTGCAATTGTGGTGAGTGAGTTGAAGTCTCTGCGAAGCTTGGGCGAGAGTAGGCGTTCTATGATCGCCGTGACGTCGAAGGTAAATGGCGAACTCTGGAACACCGCAAAGAAAGCGAGCGCTGGAAAGACAGCGGAGATTCACGCACGAAGACCTCGAGCGGCGAATATCACGGGGGACTGGAGTGCAGGATTAATGGCGCGTTGGATCAGGTGTCGAGCGCGAAGGATCACGCTGCATGGAGGTGCGCATCGATGACGAAGGTTGGCTGGATTTGGCATTGCGCTCGGACCGGTGTTGCCGGAAGTGGTGGCACCTTGCATGTTGAACCACACTACCAAGCATTCCAAGGTTAGGTGAGATGGACGTTTAGAAAGAGCAGTAGAGGAAGAACAGTAGATGGCGTGCGAGTGCATGCTTGCGGAGAATTATCGCCCTATCATACGTATGCACCAGTCCCGAATGCGATATATGCAGCTAGGTCAAGCCACTATCTCCACGTGAGCACGCGAGGTAATCAATTCCTCTACTTTTGTGAATCCAGCGCCTCCCTTGAATATGGATATGCCCAACGCCGCTCCCACGCGGTGATGCTACTCAATCTGGCCATGCCAGGCGCCTGCTATTAAAAATACATGCAAATTACAGTGAAACCAATGGTTGTGATTATGGGAATTGTCGGCTATGCGTCGTCCGGTGGGTTGTTGAAGAAGGCGAATCGTATCCTGTGGAGCTGGGGAAGTTAGTAATGCTTCGTCTGAAGAGTGTTGGGGTGCATACCGAGGGGAGCTTTGGAATGACGACTGCTATGGTCGCAAAGCAGTTGATGAGGAAATACGTCAGATTGTAATTCGTGTAGTGCGTGCTGACGAGAAACAGCACAATGGGTACGCTGAGAAGGAACTTCTTGGCTGGTGTGTATTGTTCGCCGTTGTCAATCTGTTCCCACATGTTCAAGTTGTCGTAGGCGCCCGAGTTGAAGTCAAAGGGCACACCGCGCACGTAGTGGAACATGAGGTAGGATCCCGCCACGTACGAAAGATTGACGAGGGTCCATGATGCTTCTTGCGACATGCCGGGGATGATGTCGAACAGAATCTTGCCGAAGAAGATGAGGACAAAGTGGATAGCCCAGGCGCCTGGAGGTGTTAGCCTGAGATACAGAATAGCAACATATCATGTCTGTCTCGTGCTCACCCTTTGCATTCACCCATTCGGCGTTGAGGTTGGGCAGGGCGGACTGGTCGCTCAGCTGCTCCAGAGACTCGGGGGGCTCTTTGTAGACAAGACTACTGCTACGTCGCCTCCTCGCGTCTTTTGCAGCATCCAGCGACATCTTGGAGTAGGACGAGGACGAGGGCGAGTCTGATGGGCGAGACCGCGGGTCGCCAGCAAAGCTCAGGCGGGAGGTGCGATTGAGGAGTATGGGTGACAGTTTGGCGGTATTGCTGGATTCGTCGGGCGGCCGGGCGGTGGGAGAGGGGGATATATAATCGCGTGCGCGGGCTGAGGCTATGGGAGAGCTGCCACGGGCAATGGCATGTCAGTGAGGTCCTAAAGGAGCAAGGCGGCGACGTGGGCTTTCAGGGTCTTCTTACTGAGTACGCAATACCTTCCGGGGCGTCCGAGCTTTTGGCGTTGAGCGATTGGCGCAGAGAAGGGCGTGTAGACGGTAGCGATATGGCGAGGCAGCGGGCAGAGAAGAGGGAACTGTTGGCAGAGGAGGAGGGAGTGAAGCCTCAGTCGGCAGGCGTGAAGACGGAGGCGTGGCAGGTCCACATGATGCTCCCAAAGACCGTGTTCCTAGCAATCACCGAGGCCGTGCCCTGAGCGCAACCATACAACTCTAGAACCAGACACGACCACCTCCGTCCGCCAAAGACCCTCCAACCACCACCCTTTTCACCACCATGGCCTCGGAAGCGCCGCCCCCGATGGAGTCCCACGCTCTCGCTCACGATGCACCGCCCGCCGATGCACCCGATGCGACGCAGAAGCCCGTCAAGCGCTCGTGGAGGTATGACGCGCCGACGGATTGAATGTAGTCCCCAGCTAATTTGCATGAAAGACGAAAATACCGTAAAATGCGTATCAGGTTCGAAGAGGCCATGAACGACAGCGACAGCCTCATCAAGCAGGAGTGGAAGGCCATGGGCACCGCCCGCCGCCTGCAGGAGAACAACGACCAGATCCTCGACATCCTGCTCGAGCTCAACGAGCAGACACGCGTCAACCCGCGCCTGCGCTTCGACCTGCGCAACCTCTCCGCCGCCGACACTGCCGTGCCCTCGCTCGAAGCCGTCCCCGATCCAGAACTGGTGAAAGCGCAGCTGCAGACGCTGAGAGATGACCTGGCCGCCAACACCATCACCCCCGAGGAGTACGCGACACGGGCTGACCAACTGCACTCGTCGCAAGCCATACAGCAGACGCTCAAGTCGCTCGCCAGCCTCGAAGCCAAAGTCCCCCACACGACGCGCGCCGACCTGCCCGACCACCCCGTCGAGGGCATCGACCTCAGCGAGCATGCGCCGGGCTACATGTCGCCCACACACGAAGACGAATACCTCCTCGCTACCGACCAACTCCTCGAGCAGCCCGGCTTCGATCAGGCCCTCCAGCAGGGCCGCCCCGTCCGCCTCGCATCCGCCCAGCCCCCGCTCAGCGAAAAGGACCTTACCGTGCGCAACCCGGACAGCGTCTACAACTGGCTGCGCAAGCACCAGCCCCAAGTCTTCCTGCAAGACAAAGACGCGGCGCATCACGAGAACCTCTCCGAAAAGTCTGCCGCGCCAAAGACCAGCAAAGCCAACGCAACCAAGGTCAAACGCGAGTCAAACATTGGCGGCGGCGGCACACCCGCTCCCCGCGATCACGATGACGAAGACTCGGCAGCCCCCGAGACCGGCAAGGGACGACGCAAGACGGGCGGCGGCGACGACGACACCGCCTACAGACCCAAGGGCGGCAGCTCTCGTCCCGCAAAGCGCAAGCGGGAAGAGGGCGAGACGCCTGCGGGCAAAGGTAGCAGGAAGAAGAGTCGTCCAAGCGCGGTCACAGGGCCAGCTGCTTGACCTGCCTGCTAACAGGGCGCATAGAAGAGCTGGCCTATCGAGCTGGGACATGCACTCATTGCGC